ATACAAAGTGATAAGGATGGATGGTTAGTTAGTTAGTTAGTTAGTTCTTAATTAATTAATCCCAAACTGTGTAGAGTAGAGTAAAGCAGAGTAGTAGACACGACTCACACATACGGATTTAGCTTGTGTGTATTTACAAAGTACTGATATGTTTATTCATTTCTTTCTAAAGAACATTTTTTGGTGAGCAGGATTACGCAAGAACTACTCCTTTCTATTAATCGTACAAGGAACAACCCATGAAATTGTGCTGTGGATCCAGGATTTTCTTTTCTTTGTCTTTAACATTGTGAGATAGGGAGTTTTTTCAATCTATTTCTTGATTTCTCAGAGAATAATCATGGATCTTGATGAAAAAAAGATTGGACATGTTTAGAGGATCGATATTTAATGCAATTGTGTGCAGATCCAAATAAAAATCTGGATCTAATAACTTAAATGTGTTTTCATCGAGGGACTGTTGCGTCTTATCTGAGTGCCATTCTAGTTTATGGATGTAACTCAGTTGCTTGTTTATTTAGTTCATTTCACTCCTCACTACCTCACAGACACGCAACATTTCTTTTCCATGACCTATAATGATGCTAACGTCTGCAAGTCTGCAATCATATGCTGTGTCTCTTGTACATTTTTCACTTTAAATGGATAAGCTCTTTCTGTCTCTTGACATTCATCATGATATCCTGTTATCCAGTGTGATTTTTAAATCACTGTGTTGTCATCTCAATCCAACATTCATCCTCTTTCTTATTCTTTTCTCCACTTTCCATCATATCAGCTCTATTGGTTCATGTTTTTCCCCTATTTCTCACAGTTCAGTATAATATTCACTTCTACATTCTCCTTTTCTAACAGTTAGTTTTCTCCGTTTGCTCACTGACCCTCCTGTGTCTCAGGTGATTATGAAGCTGCCATCAGGGAGCATCAGCAGGAGTTGTCTCTTTCTGAGGTGGTGAATGACGTGATTGGACGAGCCGTGGCCAATCGTAAGATAGGAGAGTGCTACGCAGAGATGGGAAACATTGAGGCTGCTTTGAAAGTGAGTCCATTGATCTGCAAGAATAAGTTGATGCCCATTAAACCACTTTCTTCTGTGGCGTTACCTCACTACTGTATTTTAATGTGTATTCAGCACATAAGTGGTTGTATGTTTGTCTTCTTCAGCATCAGCAGTGGCACCTGGACTTGGCTCGTTCTGTAAGAGATCACGCCGAGGAGCAAAGGGCGCTGGCCACTATCGGTCGAACCTATCTCTTCCGTTATGAATCGGACCAGTCGAGGAAAAGTTTAGAGAAAGCAGAGGATGCCTTCAGAAAGAGTCTGTCCATCGTGGATGATCGTCTAGAAGGTGTGTTTATTTACCGGCGTGTGTGTCCTCAGGGATTTGTAGGGAATCATTTTAAACATTTTTCTTTTCTTAACTCCAGGGACAGTGCCGGCGCGAGAGATAAGTGAGATGAAGGCTCGTCTGTTCCTCAATCTCGGTCTGGTCTGCGATCATCTGGGGGAGCCTAAACGCTGCAGCGAGTTCATCCGCCGCAGTGTCTTTATTGCTGAGTATGAAGAACCGAAACTACTTTGTCTTAATGTAAACACTCAGGTAGGAATGTCGTCTTGTTAATGGGTCTTTCTCCATTTTTATTGTGTGAAGGAAGAGCCAGCTGCTGGAGGACCTCTACCGTGCGAACTTTAATCTGGGCAACATCTACTTTCGTAACGGTCAGCACTCTAACTCTGTGCGCTGCCTGGAACAAGCCAAAGAGTGTGCCAGAAAGATTAAAGACAAGTTCAGTGAGAGCGAGTGCTTTCACTGCATCGGCAAGGTACATCCTCGACCAAACCCCCCTACTTACTGCCTCTCCTGCCTGTACAGTTTGTGACGAGTGTGTGTTTGTGTCCTTGTCATGTTTATCCACAGGTGCAGCTTTCTCTGGGTGACTTTGT